GGTGCGTTTCTATCAGTCTTCCTACCATTATGACCAAGTTGCGAAAACAAGGTCAAACAACTTTTAATACCAGTTATGCTGTAATTTGACATTTTACACTTCCCCATTTCGGCAGAGAATAGATGAGCGCCAACGAGGCGGATTAGAATGAGTCAAAACCGCTGTCAAGAGTGAATGAAACCGAAATTTGAGCGTATATGAAAAAAAAGGGAACTCAACCAAAATTCATTACTTTTTTTCAATGCAACATGAACAGTGTCGCTATCAGTCAAATGAAAAGGCAGTTGCAATTTTTCACATCTTGACAAGATTCGGTTTTCCTCATTTCACATATTTCACTTTATTTGACAAAAATGTCTACAAGGCCTGCACAACTTGGCCCAACCAGAGCCCCAGGAAGGATCGGTTTTGAACCGTAGCGACTGTAAATTTCTGCTTTTTCTAGTGGGCCAAAGTCACGAATCACTTCCATCCACCTCTTCAAATAAGCCGAAAGGTGTGAAAACATAATGCTAAATAGGATTCTTCGAGCTCAGCCTCTTCCCGAATATGCTAAGATCTGGTCTTGTCAGTGAATGTCCCGAAAGCGGGTTGTATGCTCAAACTAACTCAGGCCTGTTGGCAACTGCAAAGGTGACTGTTCCCCTTGTACCGCTCTTAGCGACAGTAATTGAGCTTCGCAACTTTGTCGTGTTGTCAAGGCGACCTGGAGATAAAAACCTTATCTGAAATTCTAGGTACTAGCGGTCTTGATACATCCATTCGCCACGCCGTCGGCTTGGTACAATGACGGTCGTTTCGGCGGAATCGTAGTCGGCGTCGTGAGTACATGTCGTCATTTCTAGTAACAGGAAACAGACAATTCAAGAAAAGATACAAGTTAAGCTGGGCTTAATGGTTTTTGGGGATTGCTCGTAGATGGTGGTATCTCGCTCTGACCATGTCCGTCACATGACGAAGGTGAGATCAGAAAAAATGGTTCCGGGTCACAGGATGATGAGCCGACAGTGGAAGCAATTCGTGAATTGGACTCGCAGAAAAATCTACAAATCCACAGTCGCAACTGCTCAAAGACAATCATACCTGCCAAATACGGGCCCAACGACTGGTCTGCGAAGGCTCTCGCCGGGCACACCAACAGACGGGCTGATCAACAAGCCATGGACACGGTGTACATACCCACCAGTACCAAACATGGGGTCACTTTCGATCCTAGAAAGGTTTAGTCCAATTTCCTGAGTCGTTTGCGTCTGCGTGTCCCTCTTTCTCGGTATGTATGCCTGTTTGTATGTGTTTGCAGCGTTTTTTGTATCCACAGCAAAAGTAGGTCAATTGTATATCTCATCGCCATACAAGACAGAGTTGGCGCTATTTCATTGGGCGTCATGGCAACGTCAGACTGTACGACACTCAATTGGCATTGATCGGTTCGGGGAGTAGCGCCGGCCAAAAAACCGGATACAGCAGCCCAACTACAGCGCTTTTGCCGGGTAGACATACACTTTTCGGCTCAGAGATTGATCATTTTCCGGTTAGACCGGTTAGGCTTCTGCGCAAACGTGCGCCCTGAACCGGTTGTTGGCAGCATTTTGAGGACGAGTTCGTGTGTTGAGGAGAAGCGGATTTGCAGGAGACCCCGTCTCAAGGTGAGAAAGTGATCCTTTTGGGCTGTTGCTGAGGCTACAAGGCGTCGGCAAAGTGACCCTAAACTGGTCGTTCACATGCTGGGTAGACGTAGAACACACATATCGAAGGAGTGCATCAACAACAGGCCGACATTGTTGCCATGCCGGACAAGGAAGGAGGGGGGTGGGGGGTGGGGGTGTAGCCGGACAGTCGATTTCGCCCAGAGGATACATGATTAAGGATTTCAGATTGAGGGTACATGAGTCCCGAGTCCTGGCTAATGAGTCCAGATATCTGAAGCCAATACTTTCACTCGAAATGGAAGTAAGCTCAACAATTATGAAGCAAGAGATTCCCCGAAACCCAACTCTTCTTCGCAAATATTCCTTATTTCTGCCACCCAATTCCTAAGTCAAGGTTGCTACTTTATGCTTACTTATCATTGATTTCTGATGCAGGTTTCCTGATTCGTCATCCCATATTCATAAATTATGAATCCTAAATAGTTACTCCCTATTCCTGATAGGTTGCTTGTTGCCTATTCCTAATTGCACAATGTCTAGGGCCGATTCCTGATTTCTGATTGCGCCTTACTAATACCAAATCATTGATTCTATGTATCCGATTTTGGTTCCCTATCTGCTAGCTATGATTCCTAAATCCCCATTACTCATTCCTAAACCCTGTTTCCTCATACCTTATTCATGACAAGTGATTGATGGTACATGAATCCTGATTCATGAAACCCTAAACCTGATTGCTGTTTGAAGATGTGAAGACCAAGATGTTGTGGCCTCGGGTATGGTCGCAGTCTCCTTTCGACTTATTGAAGT